AAAAATGACATTTTTTAAAAAATTCAAATTTCCCGCCGGTTCCGGCGCCCGTACGTCCCGACGTCACAGGGACCGGAACACGGAAGCCAGATGCCGGCATCGGCCGGAGGAGATGGCCGGGGACGCTGCAGGGGACACATCGCGGGAGCGAAGGACAAGGTAAGTGCTGCAGGGACCCCCAGAGCAACGCCGCATGGTAAGCCCGAGTGTAGCTCGGGGGGGGTTACCGCTTTTGGTATAGAAATTTTACCCCGAGCTACACTCGGGAATACCGCCAGGGAGATTAACCATTGCAGCCACACAGCACAGGCTACTACAAAGGAGAGAATACTGCATTCACCTTTCTGTGAAACTTATATGGAAATTGATATCATCTCCGTGAATATGGGACTATTCATTTATATTTTATTTGCAATTTAGTATCATTATTATTTTTATTCACAGGTATTCTTTGTCTTATGCAAATATTGGCACAAGGTGCATGAATATTTACTCACGGTGTCAATTGAGAATATATATTGATTTTTTATTTTTATTTTCATCTTAAAACAATGAATAGAGCGCGGTGAATAAATAAAGTTTTATCTGTCTCAAAAAAAATGCTAAAAAATTCATATGGGTACAGTGTTGCATGACTGCGCAATTGTCATTCAATGTGTGATAGCGCTGAAAGATGGCCTGGACTGGAAGGGGGGGAAAGTGTCCGGACTGGAAGGGGGTGAAAGTGTCCGGACTGGAAGGGGGTGAAAGTGTCAGGACTGGAAGGGGGGGGGAGTGTCCGGACTGGAAGGGGGGAAAGTGTCTGGACTGGAAGGGGGGGGAAAGTGTCCGGACTGGAAGGGGTGGAAAGTGTCCGGACTGGAAGGGGGGGAAAGTGTCCGGACTGGAAGGGGGGGAAAGTGTCCGGACTGGAAGGGGGGGAAAGTGTCCGGACTGGAAGGGGGGGGGGGAAAGTGTCCAGACTGGAAGGGGGGGGGAAGTGTCCGGATTGGAAGGGGGTGAAAGTGTCCGGACTGGAAAGAGGGGGAAGTGTCCAGACTGGAAGAGAGGGAAGTGTCCGGACTGGAAGGGGGGTGAAAGTGTCCAGACTGGAAGGGGGGAAAGTGTCCGGACTGCAAGGGGGGGGGGGGAAGTGTCCGGACTGGAAGGGGGTGAAAGTGTCCGGACTGGAAGGGGGGAAAGTGTCCGGACTGGAAGGGGGGAAAGTGTCCGGACTGGAAGGGGGCAAAAGTGTCGGGACTGGAAGGGGGGGAAAGTGTCGGGACTGGAAGGGGGGTGAAAGTGTCGGGACTGGAAGGGGGGTGAAAGTGTCGGGACTGGAAGGGGGTGAAAGTGTCGGGACTGGAAGGGGGTGAAAGTGTCGGGACTGGAAGGGGGGTGAAAGTGTCGGGACTGGAAGGGGGTGAAAGTGTCGGGACTGGAAGGGGGTGAAAGTGTCGGGACTGGAAGGGGGGGAAAGTGTCCGGACTGGAAGGGGGTGAAAGTGTCCGAACTGGAAGTGGTTAAGGGCCAGTTCACACTCCATGCGTTTCAGCTGCTTTTTTTTCTGCATCCAAAACGCACAGAAAGTAGGTGATATGGTTGTCCGTGTCATAGTTCACATCAGTGCTTGCAGTTCTGGTCGCAGAAAAAAAAGAACAGTCTGCGCTTTTTCTGCACAGAACTGTAATGGAACGCAAAAATCCCCCAAAAAAATTGTCCAAAAAAAGAAAAAGAAAAGTCCAAAGAAAAGTCCAGTGTTCAAAAAAGTCCCAGATTTCCAAACCTTTTCATCCAATAGGAAGGATTGAATCCTATTCCATCCCGTAAGAACCTCAAAAATAAAAATAAATATTCTAGTGCATTACCTTTATATAAAAGAATAATCGCTCCGTGCAAAAACACAACCTCTTAAAAATGTGCCAAAACCTTTTAAAAAGTAAATTAATTATTTGATATAGAGCACATATGTACTACAAGGTAAACTGTGAGCTCTGTGATCTCTGCAACACTGCAAACACCAAAAAAAAACACCAAAAACACCAAAAACCAGCACCAATACTATTAAATACTATTACCCTCTGTGTGTATATAATCTCATCAGCTTATCAGCATTATAGATCAGAGATCTTCCATTCTCTCTTCAAAGATATTCTTCCAAGGTCCTCAGAAAGACAAGAAGGGTCTCAGGACTCATATTCAAAGTATAGGGAAATTTTTAATAGCCACTTACATTTAAAATTTAGAATTTCCAGCTCCGAACATGGCTCCTATGCAAGTTCCAACAAACAAATGCAGAAAACCATGTGTGGATAACCAACAAAATGGCCGCAGGCGACACTTCCGGGTTTGCGTACGTGCGTCTTGACGTCACTCCACTAACGCGTTTCATCACTTCCGACTTCGTCTGAAGGGATACAGACGTCTCACTTGCCGCTCCTTTTAAAATCAATGCCTCCTAATGGTCTGAGTGTCAGGGATGCGGGTGTGACCAGAAGTGTGTGGACTGACGCAGGGAAACGCAGGCTTCAGATATAGTAAATAATATAATTTATTAAGACTAACAATACAAACATAAACGCAGTGCACCAAACCCCAAGCTAACACAAATACATACAACAAGGTGAAACAAACCCAAACCTAAACTGATACAGATACACAGGTACATACACATATAGAGCACAACGTAGTCAGGCAGGCCGGGTCGATAACTATCGGGCAGGTCGGTACAGGAGGAGCAGGCGGAGAGTAGTCAGGTCACGAGCCGGGTACAGCAGCTAACGGACAGGTAGGTACAGGGGGTCAGGCAGAGAATGGTCAGGGTCACAAGCCAGGGATCAAACAGGAGAAGTCAGCAGAGGTCAGGATCAGGCAGGGTCAGCAACAAGTCAGGCAGAAACAGAAACAGGAACGCAGGTTACAAGATACAGGGGCCCATGGAAAAACACACACCAAGGCCCTGACTGTGAGTCTGGCCATCCCTTAAATACACCTGCAATCAGCCCCAGGTGATGGCTAATTGCCAAAGTGAACCTCTGGTTGTTGAGAGCACCCGCTGGCCAGCCCTGGTACTGCAGCCCACAAGGCAGGTGAGTCCCACCACTATTGGCAAGTCCATTCCTGACACTGAGGCTACCGCCGCCATTTTTTGAAGAGGGAAAACTAGTGATACCAATTCCTCTGTCATTCTTATAGGTACATAAGACCTTACACATATCGGTCTTATCTAAATGACATACCCAAAGTATAACAGAGGACTAAGGATTACTTATACATACATCAAATCACAATTACAGTATACAAACATAGATCCGCTAGTTCTTACCTCTGCACTCAAAAAAATAACTAGATAAAATATTACATCACATACCTAAGCTATCCTACATATAATCAACACCATAATTCTAAAACAATATTAGTAAAAATAATAATAATAATAATAATAATAATAGCCCCTCAATGTTTAATTTAAATTTCTATATTCTTATCTTGGACTCTGATTATCATCTTAATACTTTACTCCCTCTAGTGGTCACTCTAATACACTATCTAACCATACAAATAACTTGAAAGAAATTCATTTAATAGCTCATAAAATTTTGGTTATCAAGGTCAAAAATCAAATATCTCCTACACCTCTAATCATATTATCATATTCCCTTTACTAAGACTACAATAAAACTACATATATATGCAACTTTAAAAATAAAATAATAAAATAATTAAATTCAATAAATAAATATATATCAGTACTTCATTAAATTTCTTATAATACTTAACTGTATAGCCATCCGGGCCTGGGCTTCCCCCCCCCCCCCCCCCTGCTTCTTAATGCTGTTTTAATTTCTTCCTGGGAAATTTCTATGTCTAAGGAGTTCAACTGTGCTTCACTTAGTTTTGGTAATCCCGCATTTTTTAAGTATATCTTCTTTTTTTCATTACTTCCCTCTTGGGCTTCTTTTAGAGGGCCTTGGGGACTAATATTATATAAATTTTTGTAATACTCCATGTTTACCCAAGTTGGAGAAATATATGAATGCTCTGGGAGGTGGGATGGAAGTGAGGAGAGAATCCCTACAGGCCCATGTAGTACTTATTCACAAGGAGGGAAAAGATCCATCTCAGTGCTCCAGCTATAGACCTATCTCACTATTGAACACAGATACTAAACTGTATGCAAAGGTGTTAGCAAACAGGTTGAAAGATCTAATGCCTGAATGGATCCATGGAGACCAGGTGGGCTTTGTACCAGGGAGAGAAGGTAGAGATAACAGCTTGAGAACCCTGATGCTTATTCAGAAAAGTAGAAAAGGGAAAGCCCGGTGGTGCTCTTGTCAATTGATGCAGAGAAGGCATTTGATAGAGTGGACTGGGGCTTTATGATGGACAACTTAAAAGTGCTGGGGATAGGTGATAGAATGCGTGAGTGGATAAGTAAATTATATAGGGAACCTACTGCAATCATCACGGTAAATGGGGAGAGATCAGAACCCATTGGAATGTCTAATGGTACAAGACAGGGCTGCCCACTGTCCCCTTTACTATATGTGTTGTCACTCGAACCTCTGTTGTCAATAATAAGGAACAGTGGATCGGTAAAGGGAATTCAGATAGAAACCATAGAACATAGAGTAGCGGCCTTTGCGGACGACTTATTGTTCTATGTGGGGAATCCCCCGAATAACTCTCCCAAATATAATGAAGATTCTGAAGGAGTACGGTGAACTATCAAATTTAAAAATTAATCCAACGAAAACAGAGATCCTGAATAATAACCTCTTGCCGACCGTGCATAGCCGAATGACGGCTTCACCGCGGCCAGCCAGTTCTGGGTGGACGTCATATGACGTCCTCCTCCCAGAACGCGCTCTCCTGCGCGCCCCAGGGGGCGCGCACCCGGCGATCTCCGTGATCGCTGTGTCCTACGGACACAGCTGATCACGTGATGTGGTAAAAGGCCGATCATACCGGCCTTTTACCACGTGATCAGCGGTTTCCAATGACACGCTGATCACAGGGAAATGCAAGTGCCGGTTCTCGGCTGCTTTTTCCTCACGCTGTCAGATCGTGAGGAAAGTACTGCCCGAGAACCGGCAGTTGTCAGAGCGGGGATCGGCACCGATCATCAGGGCACTGATGATCAGTGCCCTGATGATCGGTGCCCAGCAGTGACACCCGCAAGTTCCGCCCAGCAGTGCGCCCACTAGCTCCGCCCACCCGTGCCCAGCAGTGCACCCACCTGTGCCCAGCAGTGCCCCCACCTGTGCCCAGCAGTGCACCCACCTGTGCCACTATGCAGTGCCACCTACCTGTGCCCAGAAGTGCCACCTACATGTGCCCAGCAGTGCCACCCTCCTGTGCCCACCCACCAGTGCCCACCAGTGCCACCCACCTGTGCCCACCAGTGCCACCCACCTGTGCCCACCCACCAGTGCTGCCCACCAGTGCCACCCACCAGTGCAGCCCAGCAGTGCTGCCAGTCAGTGCCACCAGTGAGTGCCCAGGGGTTGTGCCAGTCAGTGCCGCCAGTCAGTGCCCAGCAGTGATGCAGTCAGTGCCGTCTATCAGTACCCATAACCAGTGTCACCTATCAGTGCCGCCTATCAGTGCTGCATATCAGTGCCGCCTATCCGTGACCCCTAATTAGTGCTGTCTATCAGTGCCGCCTATCCGTGCCACCTCATTATTACTGCCTATCAGTGCCCTTTAGTGCTGCCTATCAGTGCCCATCAGTGCCCATCAGTGCTGCCTCATCAACGCACATCAGTGAAGGAGAAAAAATACCTGTTTGAAAAATTTTATAAAAGAAACAAATAAACTTTTTTTTTTTTTTTTTTCAAATTTTTTGCATTTTTTTATTTATAGCGCAAAAAGTAAAGCGCCCATGGCGATTAAATACCACCAAAAGAAAGCTCTATTTGTGAGAAAATGATCAAAATTTCATATGGGTACAATGTTGAATGACCGCGCAATTGTCAATCAAAGTGCGGCAGTGCTGAAAGCTGAAAATTGGCCTGGTAAGGAAGGGGGTATAAGTGCCTGGTAGGCGAGGGGTTAATATATCTAAGAATGAAAAAGAAAAACTACAAAAAGAATTCCCCTTTATATGGAGAGAAAAAGAGATAAAATACCTAGGAATAAAACTCACTGCCTCATCTAAGCATTTGTATAGATTAAACTATATCTCTTTGATAAATGAGATCAGGGAAGATTTAAAAAGACTAGAAGGAGGAAACCCATCCTGGATAGGACGTATAAACCTAGTCAAAATGGTAATTATGCCTAAAATACTGTATAGATTTCAAATGGTACCAATTAAAATTCCAGAGGCCTTCTTTAAGATAATGAAAAATATGTTAACAAGATACATATGGAAGAATAAAAAACCTAGAATAGCATATGAAACATTGAGTAGGACTAAAGAGAAAGGGGGATTGGGTCTACCAGATGTCAAGAGATACTATAAAGCAGTGGTCTTAGCAAGAATATATGACTGGACATTTAACCATAAGGGGAAAAGTTGGGTAACAATTGAAAATGACCTTAGTGGCATTAGATTGAGCCAGATGTTATGGGTTCCACCACAGTTTAGAGGAATTAAAGAAAGCACAAGTATCTACACCTTAAATGTTTTAAGGGTATGGGACAACCTACACAAAAACATGAAATGGGAATTTAATTCTACATTAATGCCTCTCACAAATACTGAGTACTTTCCCCGGGAAAGGATAAGATATCAGGGAGATGGTTTAGAAAGGAGGATATCCAACTGAGAGATGTTTGGTGGAGGGGAATTGAGATCACTAAAAGATTTAATAGAGAAGAAGGGAGAATTATTAGAATAGATGAGTGGAAATATCATCAGAATTATTCAAAAATTCGTTTCGGCTGATTCGCCGAATTTAAGGAAGAAATTCGATTCGATGCGAATTTATTCGCTGCGAATTTAACTTATTAAAAGGGTTTCTAGGCTTCAGAGAGCCTTTATATTAGTGCAGAACACTGTACCTTAATTTAAATGCCCTTGGAGTCTGCTGGGGAAGAGAGAATAATACTGATCAGTTCAGTATGACATGCAGATGAGTGCCGTCGATCTTAGAATCACCGCACACATTCAAGAATTTCATAAGGCAGTCACGGGGCACGACGAAGAAGCAGAAGAAGAAGAAAATGAAAAGGAAGAAGAAGAAGAAGAATGAAAAGAAAGAAGAAGAAGAAAGAAGAAGAAGAAAATAGAGAAGAAGAAGAAGACATGAGAAGAAGAATGAAAAGAAGAAGAAAGAAGAAGAAGAATGAAAAGAGATAGAATGAAAAAGAAAGAATGAAAAGAAGAAGAAGAGAAGTGAAAGAAGAAGAATGAAAAGAAGGAAGAAGAATGAAAAGAAGGAAGAAGAATGAAAAGAAGAATGAAGAAGAAGAAGAAGAAGAGATGAAAGAAGAAAAGAAGAAGAATGAAAAGAAGAAGAAGAAGAAATGGAAAAGAAGAAGAAGAAGAATGAAAAGAGAGAAGAAGAAATGAAAAGAAGAATGAAAAGAAGAAGAAGAAGAATGAAAAGAAGAATGGAAGAATGAAAAGAAGAAAGAAGAATGAAAAGAAGAATGAAAAGAAGAAGAAAGGAAGAAGAAGATGAAGAATGAAAAGAAGAATTGAAGAAGAAGATGAGAAGAATGAAAAGAGAGAAGAAGAAAAAAGAAGAAGAAGAGATAAAAGAAGAAGAAGAATGAAAAGAAGAAGAAGAAGAATGAAAAGAACGAATGAAAGAAGAAGAAGAAGAATGAAAAGAAGAAGAAAGAAGAATGAAAAAAAAAAGAAGAAGAATGAAAAGAAAAAGAAGAGAAAGAATGAGAAGAATGAAAAGAAAAAAGAAGAAGAAGAAAAGAAGATGAAAAGAAGAAGAAGAAGAATGAAGAAAACAGAAGAAGAAGAAAGAAAAATGAAAAGAAGAAGAAGAAGAAAAGAAGAATGAGAAGAAGAAGAAGAAGAGGATGAAAAGAAGAAGAAGAAAAATGAAAAGAAGAAAAATGAAAAGAAGAAGAAAAATGAAAAAAGAAGAATGAAAAGAAGAAGAAGAAAAATGAAAAGAAGAAGAATGAAAGAAGAATGAGAAGAAGAATGAAAAGAAGAAGAAAGAATGAAAAGAAGAAGAAGAATGAAAAGAAGAAGAAGAATGAAAAGATAGAAGAAGAAGAAAGGAAGAAGAATGAAAGAAGAATGAAAATGAAGAGGAAGAAGAATGAAAAAGAAGAAGAAGAAAAGAAGAATGAAAAAGAAGAATGAAAAGAAGAAAAAGAAGAATGAAGAAGAAGAAGAAGAAGAATGAAAAGAAGAAGAAGAAAATGAAAAAGAAGAAGAAGAAGAATGAAAAGAAGAAGAAAAGACGAAGAAGAATGAAAAAGAAGAAGGAAAGAATGAGAAAGAAGAAGAAAGAATGAGAAGAAGAATGAAAAGAAGAGATGAAAAGGAAAGAAGAAGAATGAGAAGAAGAAAGAAGAAGAATGAAAAGAATAAGAATGAGAAGAAGAATGAGAAGAAGAAATGAAAGAATGAAAGAAGAAGAATGAAAGAAGAATGAAAAGAAGAAGAAGATGAATGAAAAGAAGAAGAAGAAGAAGAATGAAAAGAAGAAAGAAGTATCCAGTACAGCAAAAAGTGTATCTGCAGAGAGCTCGCTATTTCTGACAGTTCTCTGACAGTTCCTTAACATTTACAGTGGTTTGAAACATTGTATCTATTTGTTTCCGAATAAAAAACATCTGTATCCTAAATGGAAACAAATAGATACAATGTTTCAAAACCGCTGTACATGTGAAGGAACTGTCAGAGAACTGTCAGGAAATAGCGGAGCTCTCTGCAGGGACACTTTTTGCCGGCTGATCGGGGGAAAATTCGATTCGCGCATCCGAAAAGTATGCTATATTCGGATTCGCCGCGAATCGAATTTTTCCTGATATTCGAAACGAATTCACTTCGCCAAGTTCGATTCGCTCATCTCTAGTTAGTATGAGAGAAGTTGAGGTTAATTATAAGTGTGTGACACGATGCACATCATCACACGAGTGTAGAGCACAGGATGAATGGGGAAAATTCAAATCTGTGTTGGAGAGGATGTGGAGAGATCGGCACGGTGTTTCACGTATATGGTGGGAAATGTCCGAAAATCCAGGCTTTTTTTTGGAAGATGATAGTCAAATTGATTAAAGAAATAACTGAAATTGACATGGGGTCAGACCCAACGGACGTGCCTCCTACACAACATGGAGACATCTGTAAATAAATATAAAGATTCAGGTATTTGGTACTTCTTGAATGCGGCAAAGGGGTTGATACCCAAGTTTTGGTGGAAAGCTGAGGTACCGAAGGAGGAAGACTGGATTAATAGAGTAAACCAGATAGGTAGAATGAAAAGATCATATCATATGCAGGAAGATAGGATGAGAGTTTATTTTAGGAGATGGGAAAAGTGGAAAAGAGCAGGATTGAAAGAGAAATATAGGAAAATTATGAACTAGGATGTTAGAAAAAAAATGAATAAGCCTCAAGAGATTAGAATGGGCTAGAGTCTGCAGAGGGGGAGGAGGGGGGATGAGGGGTGGGAAGGGGGGGTAGTGGGATGGGAAAGAAAGAGTTTTTAGTAAGGGAAAGATAGAAATGTTATAAATGTCTATTTGTATGAGAATTATTTACTTTTTTGGGTTTATGTATTAACATGAAAAATTTAATAAATATTTAAATTAAAAAAAAAAGATCATCTAGAGATGCAGTCACCAGACATCCTTGGCAGTGACATGGCTTTAATGCCTGTGTGAATGAGGCCTATGGCACATCACTGCAAATGGCTGGGGGGGGGGGGGGAAAGAAAAAGGGGAAGAGGAGAAAGAAATAAGAGTTACTATTGCTTTAAGCGCCCCACTCACAAAATCTGATTGTACAATCTCCTTCAGATCTAACAACCAGCACATAACACAAGGGTCAGCCAGATCACATACACATGGACGGGATATATTAGGCAGCTCCTCGTATTAGAGTCATAAAGTGGATTTTACAATGTATGGGCAGTCTGAAGAAGATTGTACAATCAGATTGGAAGGCAGACACATGGCTGGAGCAGAACTCCAGGTCCCAGCTGTCATACTACAGACATGGGTGCCGGACAGCATGCTGGGAGTTGTAGTTCATCTTACATGACAAGCCTTAATGCCTGGTGATCAGGAGAATCAGAGGCTTCCGGGTGACACTGGGATTGTCAGAGAGAACAATGACAGCCCAGAGAGAATGAGAGACGCAGCCCGTGTGAACTAGGGAGCCCAAATGACAGCCCACCCTGTGCACCCCAATCATCGCCCCCCACCAGGGGTGGACTGACAACTCACGGGGCCCCCAGGCAATAGGGGGATCATGGGGTCCCCAGGCAATAGGGGGTCA